CATGTCTTTTCAAGGCAGGCGATTTATGTTAATTCCAATTTCTAGTTGTAACCCTTGACATATTTCAGCTTTAAAATCCTGGACGTGATCTGCATCTTCCCTCAGGTCATGTTTCTTTCATCCATTTGCTTGGAAATATATAGGTATCTCACGAGCTGCTTTTCTGTATTTTCTAACGTGATTAACAATTAACCGATCCATTATCAAAAGCCTTGATAAATAAGGATAATCACATATGAACTTTGTTGTCCCTGAAGATGGTCTCATCATTGAGAAAAATAAAAACTATTCAAAGAAAACTTTTGGTATTTTTCATACGAAATTTTCTAAATCTACCAAAACATTAATCCGTGAAATTGAAAAGATCGCAACGAAAACTAATCGATATGATATCTCTAAATTATTTAACCAAATCCGTTATATATATATATATAAACAAAAATCCGAATATGCAATTATGCTGTTTTAATGTTAATTTAATTTTTAGATCCATTATTTGAGATGTTTCTTGAGGATATTTAATTTTTAATAACAATGTCTTTGAAGTAAACAAATTCAATTCTTCTTTCACAATTGAATACATAGTTAGATGATAATGTTCACTTGCGGACATAGTTATTTTTTAACACTTCTTTAGATGTCCTATTTGGTATAGAGATTGATTTCTTCACGCAATTGTCAGGACGCCTGACGATTGCGTCCAGCATGAAACAATGTTAAATGTTTTATAATGGTTTATTTGGTTGAGTTTTATTTAGAGGCATTTGTATCTATAAAAATAACGTATAAACAGAAAATATAATTGTTGTTTTGAACAATAGTTTTTATAAGAAAAACAAATCGAAGTTTTTAACGAACAAGTGTATTTAACATCACAGATACAAAGGTAGGAAATTTTACTATTCAAATATAGTTGTAGTAATATATTTATATAAAACCGGGTAGGTTTAAAATATATTTTCATACTTTATATAGTGAGAACCGGTGTTTTTCCCTTGTGTTAGAGGCCGGTGCAACAATAAAAAATAATTGTCTACCATTAGTTGTCTTGATATATATATATATATATATAGATAGATAGATAGATAGATAGGACCAGATAGATAGATATAAATGATGATTTTGGCTCACCAAGCTGAAATGTTAATTTAAATACGTCTAGGAATTTGTGTTGATTCTATTTTAAAATAGTTCTTTTTTTTGAACTGTCCAATTGTTTTTCAGGAGATTATCAGAAACAAATGGGGATGGCCTCAACGTCTTTTCTGTTTATTCAATATTTCAAAAAAACGACAGGCTTCAGGAAAATTGGTAATAATTTAGATCCATTTAGTATTTTTGATGATTTCCATTATCAATTTCAATTTTGTCTAATATATATATATATATATATATATATATATTGGATTAAATCTCTTATTATTTTAATTTATTTAGTAGTTTAAATATACATATATATATATATATATATATATATATATATACACATGTGTGTGTGTGTGTGTGTGTGTGTGTGTGTGTGTGTGTGGAGATGTGTGTGTTTGTGTTTCTCAGCAATTTTCAATCTCCAGTGTCTGTGTGTAATTATTTTCACATCGAGTGTATCTATTGTGACGTCGTCTCCCGGTCGCAGCGTCGACTGTGTCGTTCGATCCCGGTCGCGGCGCCAATTGTGACGTCACGTGCTCCCCAGGCTCTGATATCCTTGTCACGGACAGCACCAACTGTGACGTCTTCGCCGCGGCGTCAGCTGTTCGCTCCTCGCTGCTCCAAACGTGACGTTCTAACCCTTTGTTTAGATTGATACCAGCCTCGTCGTTCCCAACCCGCTTCCAACGCCTGGTTACCAGGGTAACTGCACTGATCACCAGTCTGCCTACCCATGTTGTGAATTGATCTGAGACAGACGAGATCACACAGGGGTTGGGGCCGTAATGCAAGTTGAGTCCAACGGGGGTGATAACACACAATTATGTATAAAAGAAAATAAAATAAAACTCACAAGGTCCAACGTATCAAAGAAAAAAGGTAACAAACTTTTTATTTCTATTTGCTCGGTACATAGGACTATGTCTACTTCCCGACCCGTTCTGTGGATTGTGGCACGACGCTTTTTTACTAGGCAACATTAAGGCTTCAAGTTGTCTGCTCTCTAAGAAATTTGTGTTTCGGTGTGTCTTTGGACGAAAGTCGAAAAAAATTATTTCTGTGGTCTTGATTCTAAGTCGCTCTTCAAACTACTTTGTTCTTGGTTGAAGAAGAGTCCAGAAGTGTGCGTGAATCTTGGTCAGCTATCTTGACGCGGTTTCAACACTGGGCGCTCATCTCTGCTTGTCGTCCAAAGCTCAAAACTTCTCGCCAGGGTCCGCGGCTCAATCTGACTTCTTCTCTCCGGCTTGGGTCAACAAACTGAACTCTTTCTCTCAGAGTCTGAATTACTGGTCACTCATCTCCGCCGTCGGTGCGCAAACCACTTCTTCTCTTCGGCTTGGGTCGGACGAACTTCTTCACTTAGGCCAAACGAACTGGCCTTTTGCCCGTGGGCGACCGAACTTCCGCGGTTCCACTCCGCTTGCCGTCCGCGGCTTTTCGGTTGGGGCTCGTTTTTATTGACGCAAAACTGGGGTGGGTCTGTCGGCGCCAGGGGTTCTTCGATAATTCTTAATACATATCCACCCTTCTTATTTCTGGTTAGGGGATTTTTCATTCTTTTCCATTTTTGTAACTCACTCTCACTCCCACTCCCTTACTGTGCCTCTGAGCGGCGTGTACCCGCTTCCCCGCTTCTTCGTATCGGCTCCTTTACACTTACACTCCTGACAGGGGCGTCGACCGATTCTCCTCGTGCGTTACGTGACCGCTCACGGCCAATGAGGTCCTGGTCGGGTATCTTTCCTCCTCCTTCGTGTGTGTCATGTGATCTTATTTAGCCAATGACGTCTTTAGTCAGGCGTGGACAATCCGTGGCTTTTGTTTTGGGAAAGAAATACCTTGCTTAAAAAAACAAAAATATTAATTTAAATCGCCCTTATCATGAGCGACTGAGATGACACGTGGTATTTGTTAAGCAGTTTATCGCTAATTGGATATGATCTAAGAAAGGAATTTCTCAGACTCGATGGCGTTTCTGAAACGGAATAAAAATATTTCATTTTCCCTCCGCTCGAAGGTCTGATAATAACAATCTTTATTATCTCAAAAAAAAATTTGCCAGAGACCATCTTGTGTGGCTTTTTCTAATTCTGAAGACTGTCTATGTTTTCGTATTAATGGTTTGTCTTCATATCCTTAGATACACTTCCCCACCCACTTAGACCTTTACTATCATTCCAATGACACACTTTCCCACTTTGTTACTTATCAATATTTTCATTGTCCCTAAACTTCGTTTCTTTTTTCCTCTTTCTTTCTTTTCCTTGGGTGACAACCAACTGATAACACACTTCCATTTTCGCGGATCCGCGGAAATCGGTCAGATGCTTGACCTGAATATTTTTCGACACCTGTTATCTGTCAGCCGTGCGTGTGTGTGCTCGCCTATGACCTGTTTTCGCATTATTTTTTCTTTCTTTCTCCTTCGTTTTCTCTTTCTTTCTCCCAGATCGCTTGAATGTAAAGAAAAAATTATTCTTAAACCCAAAATATTTTTGGGGCCTTAAATAATTATTAAATGGTTGATAAACCGTAAAAAACAAATCATATATCTATGAATATTTCTCTCAGCTCGTCAGGTATGCCACCCTATAAAGGACGAAAATGAATAAAAAAAAAAACAAGAGAAAAAACTATTCTATCAACGCGTTTATTCCTCTGACCGTGAGGCATTTTATCAGCTTTTCTTTGCGTTTTATTCATATATCATTCAGTGTATTGTTAGTAGTTTAATGCTTATATTATGTCTGTTATCGAAGAGATTTCGCCATTAATTGCATTAATATTGCTAATTGATTCAATGTATCATTATCTCTTCATAATATATATATATATATATATATATATATATATATATATATATATATATATTCTATTTTAAAAATACGGTTTCATCGCTACACAGAACAAAAACAGAAATTTAAATTTTAAATAAAATTATAAATTTGATTTAAAATCCGTTCCCAAAAACCGCTTGAGTATGGACGGATTTAATTAGATTTAACATTTTAATTTCTGTTTTGAAACATGGTAATTCCTGTGTAGCGATGTAACCCTATTTTTTAAATAGAAAATAATTATAATATTATGCCCTACTGTTTTGTATTGAGCACTGTTATTAAAAATAAAAGTAATTACTAAGAACCCTGGATTGTAAATCTTACTGAGCTTTCTTATTATTTTAATATATATATATATATATATATATATATATATATATTAAAATGTATAATTTAGGTAATTTTGGATTTATTTGTTTATTATATATATATATATATATATATATTAAATAAAAACAGACCACTTTAAATTTCCATGTAATAAATTATTTCACTACAGCCCTTTTAAATTTAATGTTGGGTATCCGAGCCCGTAGGCTCCGCCAAAAATTCTTCATAGAAACCGTATAAAACGGGTTCGGCTAACTGTTTTCCGAGGCGAGACTCTGCCCATTAATATAGCCTCCCCTGGGGATCCTTTCTGCTCGCAGGTAGAGAGTTTGACCAGCACAGCTGGAGACGAATCTTCGACAGCAGGACATCTACCAACCGCCCTACGCGGGCAGATGTGGCACAAGGCCGAATTTAATGCGGGGTATCCGAGCTCGTAGGCTTCGCCAAAAATTCCCCGTAGACCCCGTATAAAACGGGGTCGGGTAGTCTGTTTCCCGAGACGAGACTATGCCCTTCCACATAGCAACGTCTGGGGATCCACTCTGCCCGGAGGCATGGAGATGAATCACCAAATGCAGTATGTACTGCTGTCTTTAGGCGAATGGGGATATACCCATTGTCGTCCGTAGGTATTCTACAACAGAAATGTTTATATTGAATCCTATTTCTTGGAACAATAGATAGATAGATAGATAGATAGATAGATACGAACAGACTGAGATAGATAGATAGATAGATACGAACAGACTGAGATAGATAGGTAGGTCTTTATTTCTGAGATATAATTATTTACACTATTTACATTTGTCGGACTGTTGTCCTCATTTTTTCTCATATTCACGAAGTTTCAGCTGTACACTCTGGCCTTCTTCAGGTGATATACATGTCACAGCGGATAAAAGCTTTGGTTGAAGTAATCCAGTGATTTGACACAAAGAGTTGTGAGTTCAATATCTGGTCACGGCAGAAATGAACAACAAATTAGAGAGCTGAGTTACTATCTGGAATTAATTGAAACTGAGACATCCAGAAAAGGCGTGGTACTTGAATCTAGAACGAGCTAGAGACACAAGGCAACGGAGGTCGGATTCTACAGAAGGATGCTAAGAATATCATGGACCAAGCGTGTAAGCTATTCGACCTGTGGGTATCAGATTCTCCAAGCCATCCTTTCTCGTTACGTATCCCAGAAATGTGAGTTGTCACTTCCGGACGTTAAGTATAAGCTTCCTCCTTGTTTGCATCCTCTCCAAGACCCCAACGTTGCTTATACGCTCGTCCAGGATATCCTCAGCATCCTTCTGTAGAACCACATCTTTGCTGCCGTATAGGTAGACAGATATCCCATAACAGTTCAGTACTTTTTTCTTTGTTACCAAAGAAATCCTCCTGTCTGCCTAGCTTTTGGAATGCGTCCTTGGTCATCTCAATATGTCTACGGATCTTAGGGTCGCAATTACCGCCCCCTGTCAAATATGTTCCCAGTTATTTAAATTTCTGTACCGCTTTGATTTTAGAGTCCCCGACCTGTAAATTGTATTTCGGGTTCATCCTTTTACTGATGACCATGCATTCTTTTCCTTCTTGCATTTAGGGATTAGTCCTTTCTTCTCGCTCTCCTTCGCTACCTTCTATAGGAGTTTTTGTAATTTCTTTTCCGTGTCTGCTATCAGTAATGTGTCATCTGCATATCTTATTTTGTTAAGATTATGACCTCCAATGATGAATCCAGATAGGATTTCAGAAGTTAAAATTGCCCAGCATTGGCCTGGGCCAAATATGTAGACGCGCGCCTTATAACATCTGGGCGCTCACAGGCTCATGAACCCGATTATCGACGAAGATGTATTGAATTCGGTCACTTATAGGACTGGTTACTCTCAGGATTTCTATTCTGTTCTCCATAAGGGACGGACTTGACTCCACCATAGCATATACAACGTCCGACCCTCTCATTGTTCAGTGAATCCGTCGCCGATTCTGGGCCAAATTAAGGGATATTTCTTTTCTCCTTCGCTACCTTCTATAAGAGCTTTTGTAATTTCTTTTCCGTGTCTGCTATCAGTATTGTGTCATCTGCGTATCTTATGTTTTACCAGCTGTGAACTTGGCAAGATTAATGTTTTATCCTGTATTTATCATCTCAATCATTCTAAAGAACTAAAATTTTGAAAAACCTACTTTAGCCAAAACCTTAAGCAAGATGGACAAGGCATCAGACGTATAATTTACAAGTACATATCACTTAATGATTCCAATAGCTTACTTTAAAAAAATACTTTATTTATTAATTAATATGAATAAATAAAAACAATATCAAATTATTATATTGCTTACACAAACACTACCCTCTCTCGTAGGTAAACTTGGCACTTTGGTTCAATTCTTATATATCGATTATCACATTAAATACAACCCAAAACACAATTATCAACATAAGATAAACATAAATATGTAATACCAAAATAAAGTACTCGTTGTAAGGAAAGGCACAAAATACTCGATGTTATTACTATAAAAAAGAAGCTACTGGCATTAAATAAGCTATGTTTTATCACAGTAAACAGCATTTTAAAGTGTATTTAAAACATTTAATATGCATGTAAGATAACACATAATATATTTGATACGTTCAATGTACAATACAGTAAAGCTCAGTAAAACCGTTTTACACAAGACCTCAATGAAAAGATTCATATTTAAATTTGAAATGCAGCATTGCTAGAAATGAGAGCACTTTGTTAATAAATCTTTTTTTTTCTATCATACGAACAACATTTATTTTTTGGTATTGACTGAAAATGGCGACCGCAGTTGAACAAAAACCTCAAAAACAATCATATTTGATCTGGATCTACGACAACATTCGAAAATTAGAAAAATACAATTAAAAATTAAACAGATCTTGTCGGCTGAATTTAACTAAACTGTCATATATATATATATATATATATATATATATATATATATATTTAAATAAATTATTTGAGGTACAAAATTGTAATATCGCAAGAAAAAAGTAATATGGGTTATTTCTTAACGGCATTATGAAAATAATATAAGAAATAAGAGATGATAACTCGCACAAACAAACAGACCAACCGGTTTCGTTCCCAAGCTCATCAGGGTCAACTGGGAACTATTTATCAATCTTACAGAATAAATAAGTCAAGCATACAACCTACATACAATTAAAACTAAAATGAAAGATTAATGGTATGGAGGAGGGACAAGGAATAAAAGAACAAATAATTTTTCCCCTATTTTTATTATAACTTATACACATATATATATTTTCCTTCTTTTTTGTTTCTTAAACTGTGCAAAAATTACACAAAAAAAAAGTGAAGGAAGAGGGAAAAAAAAAAAAAAAAAAATATAATTATATATGTATATATAACGGAGTGAGAGGGGAAAAAATTTTGAAGAACACTAGATAGTAATAATATGAAGTCCAAGGAGACAATCTTGTTGTTTACACAAAGACGGCTCCCTGGACCGAATATAAAGAGATTCGAGTGCCTTCAAATGGAATAAAGAGTGCGAATTGGACAGAACAGTGAACCAATTCGTACTAAAGTTCTTCGCACAATTCCTGCTATTTATTAGGTGCTCCGTAATCGCTGAACCGGAAGTGTTAACCAACTGACTTCTATTAGCTTCCGGATTGAGAATTCGTAATGGGACATGCTGCCTAATCCTACAGTCTAGACGCTGGGAAGTCCTTCCTATGTAATTGCTACCACAACCACATTTAAAAAAATAAATCACAGAAGAAACATGATGGGGGGGAAGAGTATCCTTGCGCATAGAAGGAAAGGCAGACCGAGTCGCAAAATGAACAATTAATTGAGCTGAGAAAAAACAGTCATGGACGGCTGACGAGATACGCTTAGCCAACAGCTCACCTTGAGAACCAATAAATGGTAGCCGTAGATAAACAGGGCACTTCTGTACACTGTATTGTTTTTCCTTACGGAAATTGTTGATTTTATCCCGCATGACCATATCAAGAATATCATTAGGATATCCATTACGTGAAAGAATATGGCGGATAAAATTAAATTCCTCATCTAAAAACTCATCACTGCAAATCATCAGGGCCCTATGGGTCAGGGTCCTGATCAGATTTATTTTGCGTTTCTTAGGACAAAATGAGTCCCACCGCGTATAAAGTCCTGAAAACGTCGGTTTCCGAAACACTGATGTCACAAATTGAGAAGGGGTCCGATGCACAAGTACATCAAGGAAAGAGAGACACGAGTTGGACTCCTTTTCAATAGTGAATTTTAGGGACGGATGAAGATGATTCATAATTGTAAGGAAAGAATCGGCTTCCATTTCACTGTTAAACAGACAAAATGTATCATCCACATATCGTTGATACATAGACGGTGCATTTTCTTTAGTGAGGAGGGACGACTCATAATAGCCAACAAAAATGTTAGCCAAAGAAGGACCCAAAGGAGAGCCCATAGCTACCCCGTCTATCTGTCTGTACATGTTATTGTTGAAACTAAACTCTACAGACATTGTAGCAAATTTCATTAGCTCAATAAAAACCATTTCGGGTATATCCGGAGGTGACAAAATACTTCGATACAGCATATTGCAGCAAATATCAATCGTTTCCAATACGGGAACACAAGTAAACAGTGAGCATATATCAAACGAACACATAAATTTATTGTTAGATGGGGTTTCACGAATAATCTGAGCAAAAGAAAAAGAATCTTTAATGATATACGTACTAAAGTAATCAACAACCGGTTGGAGAAGGTTTGATAGAAAACTTGCAACCTTATGTTGAGATGATCCAGTCATGGACAAAATAGGTCTGAGGGGAACATTTTCCTTATGAATTTTGGGAAGGCCATATAGGCGGGGACGAATAGACCCGACAGGTCTAATATCATCTATGATTTCACGAGGTATTAACCCACGTTTGGCCCAAGATAAAAGTTTCTTCTGAAACTTAATTTCTAAAGGAACAGTACGATCATTTGTCTCTACAGGACCAAGAGGAAGAAATTTAGTAGTGTCACTAATAATGTTTTGCATTTTAGAGACATACTCAGAGTGATCCAGTAGAACGACACCAGCCCCCTTATCTGGACGAGTAATTACCAAGTTATTATTTGCCAATAACTTCCTGACTACAGAACGGTGCTGCTGACTCCACTTGGACTCAGAAAGGGCTACCGGAGTTAACGCATAAGTATGCGCAGAACTGTTAAGGTTAGCCTTTAAATTAGAAAGCAGGTCTGTAGATTGAGGAACTAGTCTACACAACTGCGCAGATAACACCTCAAATTCGGAATAAATTTTTTCCTTATCAGGAATCTTAAATGGTATACAATGGTCTAAGCCGTTTGAAAGTATACCAGATTCTAGCTCAGAAAGCTCGTATGTTGAAAGATTAGTGATAACTCCAGAAATTGGTTCAGTAATATGCCCAAAGCGTTTACTGATTAAATGCTGCAACTTAGATTGTCGGTCACTCAATAATTTTCTTGAGGATTTTGTTTGAATAAATCCCACATAACGATAGAACCTAATCCTATCGAAAAATGAAAGGTCGGTTACACATTCACTATAAAGGACAGTGAGATCAGGGGTAAGTTGATGGATTCTATTTGTATAGAATTGAATGGAGTCCCTCATAAAAATCTCCTCAATTTTTAAGCCTGGATTCAGTTTCGCACTCCTAATTCTAAATAAAAAAGAGGAGGGACAAACATGATTTTCAATACAGGCCTGAAGAAATTTATAATTACTTATCAAAATTCTCACTCTTGCCTTGATAAGAAGAATTTTATCAAGTTTTTTGATAATGTCTCTATGATACCTCCGTTTGAAATATTTAAATAAATTATTTGAGGTACAAAATTGTAATATCGCAAGAAAAAAGTAATATGGGTTATTTCTTAACGGCATTATGAAAATAATATAAGAAATAAGAGATGATAACTCGCACAAACAAACAGACCAACCGGTTTCGTTCCCAAGCTCATCAGGGTCAACTGGGAACTATTTCACTGTTCTGTCCAATTCGCACTCTTTATTCCATTTGAAGGCACTCGAATCTCTTTATATTCGGTCCAGGGAGCCGTCTTTGTGTAAACAACAAGATTGTCTCCTTGGACTTCATATTATTACTATCTAGTGTTCTTCAAAATTTTTTCCCCTCTCACTCCGTTATATATACATATATAATTATATTTTTTTTTTTTTTTTTTTCTTCCTTCACTTGTTTTTTTTGTGTAATTTTTGCACAGTTTAAGAAACAAAAAGAAGGAAAATATATATATGTGTATAAGTTATAATAAAAATAGGGGAAAAATTATTTGTTCTTTTATTCCTTGTCCCTCCTCCATACCATTAATCGTTCATTTTAGTTTTAATTGTATGTAGGTTGTATGTTTGACTTATTTATTCTGTAAGATTGATAAATAGTTCCCAGTTGACCCTGATGAGCTTGGGAACGAAACCGGTTGGTCTGTTTGTTTGTGCGAGTTATCATCTCTTATTTCTTATATTATTTCATAATGCCGTTAAGAAATAACCTATATTAACCCATATTATATATTTATATATATATATATATATATATATATATATATATATATATATATATATATATATATATATATATATATATATATATATTATTTCAAAAGGCCAAAGTTTATAAGTTATTAACTAGTGTCTAGTTATTTTTTCCAAAATGGTTCGATTAGTTTAAAGAAACTCCAATAGTTTTAATATCTAATATCTCAATCACTGAGTACTTTTTCCGTTTTTTTTCTTGGGGGGGTCGTCGACTGGTTTCTGAATTTGATAACGCTTCTCAACTATTACGAAAATTTTTATCGAATTCCATATCGTTAGGCATTAGATTAAAAATGTAAAACTTTTTTTTTTTTTTTACTGTACACGAACTAGAAAATATTTTATTGTAAAAATACATCACAACTTGTTTACTTAGAGAAGTGCGTTCCTAATCTTCAGTTATTCAGTTAGTGTATTTGGCGGTGCTATGGACACCACTACCCCTGTTTTAATTGTGACCTTCAAGGCAAAATAGTTAATTGGCTTGCCAGTATCTTTTTTTTGCGCTGGAGATGCTGAGGTTGGCCCGACCCTTCTCTTAGGAGTTCCTCCAGCCACTGGTAAAGCCGTTGACCTCTGAGGCGCAGCTCCCACACCAAGGTTATATCCAGTAAAGAATCTGTAATGCCCCCAATCCAGACCTGAGATATCGGCTTCAGCCACTTTCTCACATTCATAATGTAGCTTCCTGTTCCTCTTCTAGATAATAAATGCAAATGTCAGTGTGTCACCGTGTCACGCTTTTTCAATTAAAGGGACACAACTCTCTAACTTTCAATAGCTCATGTTAGACAAATGTTGGGTTCCCAAGCTTTCACTAATGCGATTGTTTACGGCGATTTTTTTACGTTATTTTTTTAATTTGTTTATTTATTCATTTATTTTTTAGATGAACTTTTTTGTACGATAACAATTTTTATAACTTGGAAATAAATTGGTGAACACTCGAAATTAATTGCGAAATCAAGGTATACTCACCCATGAAATAAAAACATAATTGTTTTTACGGAAAGTAAAGACCTACGCCCATCAAATTGTCTTTAAATTAAGTGGCAGCAGAAGAATTATTGTTGAACTTTTGAAAGACAGGTTTAAATATTAATGCAATACAATGCAATAAACGCAACGATCAATTTTGAGTTCTGTAGTTTATTGTTGCCTATCGCATACGACAGCAGTATGCCTTGCAGAAAAGAAATCTCCGCTAGCCGACAACCAGATTGCAATCAAAAGAGCAATGCTACATATCGACATTTACCTTGCGCACTCACACACATATATATTTAATTAATCGACTCTGATAGAGACCCCAACAGAATGTAGAAAGCACTGGACGTCCGTTTCGTCCTATATTTGGGACTCATCAGCTGTGCGCATCCACTACCGAGAATTGAAACCCTGACAGTTAGGTTGTCGAGCGAACGTCATACCAACTGTTCCAAGTGGGTCTCGGTGACGAAGATATTCCAAGTCAGACTCAACTAAGCTCCGCTCGCTCACATATTCCGTGGTGGAACTCAACGGAGTTCTCCGTAACCATAGGACCGTGCCCCCTGGAGCCACG